GTATTCCAAAATGAGGAAAAACAGGTCTTGTTTCACACCGGGTGAGAATAGCCTACGCTGGCAAGTCTCACCCGGGGTGAGAGGTAGATCGTATTTCTATTCTCACCCCGGGTGAGAATAGCCACTTCCCATCTAGATATAGATCTAGGAGTCTAAATCTAATCTAGCTAGAGTCTAGATCTAGATTTATCTAGACTAGATTCTAGATCTAGTTTAGTTAGTTAGTTTAGTTTGAAGTAGGGCTGTGGTCAGGCTAGTCTAGTCGCCTATCAGCCGTTCGTTGCTTTCATTGCTTGTTCCTTCCTGCTCGTTGTTTTCACACTCTGTTATCTGTACGACTGTAGGTTGGTGCTCGTGGCTCATTCATGGATCTGGCAGCTATAGTATATATCCTCCTTACTCTCACATAAGTCACTTAGAAGCTGAGTCTGAATAAATAAACCCTTTTTTCGGACCCGAGACCGAATAGACAAAAAACCAATTTTCGGACTTGAGTCCGAATAGATAAAAATTATAATTATATGGAAGAGGCTAGCCGTACTTAATGATGGCTAGACTGCTAGGCTAGCCGTATTTACTTAAAGGCTAGATTGGTTGGCTAGCCGTACTTATTCTTAAATTAATATGACGGCTAGACTGACCATAAAAAAGGCCTACTGAATTGTAAATAAATTTTTAGTTTGCAGTACCTAAAATATTTGTATTTGAGACGAAACCAGGTGCCTTAATGACAGTGCATGTGTTTTAAACATCCTGTTTTCTAATGTTAATAGGGCCTAAGATAAATACGGCTAGACGGCTAGGCTAGTAAGTACGGCTAGACTGTCAGGCTAGCCATACTTGATCGCTGAATTGTAAATGAAATTTTTATTAGTTTGCCAAGCCTAAAATATTTGTATTTCAGACAAAACGAAAAGGTGCCTTACTGACTTGCTTTATTTAAACCTGAATAAGTACTAGATCTGGATCTAATGAGACCTGTGTACCTAACAGGTTCGAGTCGATAGGGCCAAACCTAGATTTATATACGGCTAGACTGGCAGTCAAGTTAAGTACGGCTAGAAATTATATTCGGATTCGAGTCCGAATAGAGCTGGCCTTATCAAAATATGGTGTTTAAAACAAGGGGATGCCCCCCTGTAACCCCCCAGATTTTTTTACCCAAGGTGGACAGGCCCTCCCTCCCCCCGATTGGTCCAAAGCGCACAAATTACTACGGGGTTAGGCCTAGCTTGATTAAGAACTATCAAACATTTCAATAACTGTTGATTTGCGACGGTAATGAAGTTGTTATTATGGTGTTCAGCTCATTGATAATATTTAGCAGAAGAGCCTGTGCCAGAACCTGGTACCATTAAAATATCTCACAGAGGTAAAATATTAAAAACTACTTAATTTCTGTTTTAATTCCATGATGTAGGTCATCATCATTGCCTTTCTCACCCTGGGTCAGGATATAGGCCACGAACAAACACTCTCCACCTTTCCCTATCCTGGGCTAGTCGCTTGATGTCACTCCACGTCTTCCCGCTTTTCTGTACATCCATTTCTGTGACTCTTCTCCAGGTTCCACGAGGTCTTCCCCTTGATCTTTTACCCTGTGGATTCCAATCTAACACTTTTCTTGTTATGCAGCTGCTTGACTTCCTGAGAGTGTGTCCAATCCATCGCCAACGTCTTCTTCCCACCTCATCTCTGACCGGGCTCTGTCTGGTTCTTCTTAATACTTCCTCGTTGGTGATCTTGTCTGTCCATTTGATCCTCAGCAGCCTCCTCAGACATTTGTTCAAGAAAACCTGGATCCTCTTTATGCACATATGGAATGCGTTCCACGTCTCACATCCATACAACAAGACTGACTTCACATTTGAGTTGAAAATTCTAAGCTTTGTCATGATGTGGGTAATTGGTGTTATTTTCATCATGTGCAAATACAGCTGAAAAATATATGTTTTTTGTAAGAAATTTAGATATTAGATGGTCACTTTGGTCACTCTACTACAGTGATAAAATTTACTTAACTCCATCTGTTGAAAGTTGGTATCTCTACTACTTTTTACGCCTGTATCAAGCCTTAAAAAAGAAAAGGAAAAGTCCCTTTCGATTTTGTGATATTTGATGTAACATGTCATCATATGCACGTCAGACTGCCTGACAAAAACTGTAACAGTTCTCTTTTCCAACTTTTCTTTTGAAGCAGCACTGTTGTGATATCAATTTGTATTATTTATATTATAATAATTATAATATCTGTCTATTTAAGTTGAAAATTGACATAAAGATTGTGAGGACGGTAGTTTCTTAAGAATTATAGTTAATTAAATAAGAGTAAAAGTTTCTTCTGTGCATAGATCTATGATGACAATTTTTGTCCTGTTTTATGAGCGTAAGTAGAGAATATTTGAACAATCTTTGGAAGTTCTTTTTTTTAAAAATTCTAATTTACATTGCTCTAGGCATTTATGAAATAAAAGGAATGACTGAATTTATGATGCCTGGCATTTTCTACAGCACAAATCACTTTGTAACGCTCTTCACTAAAACAAGTATTGTCCCTGCACATCTTGGAATTTCCACGTCAGGGGTGTAAAAGTAGTATTATTTTGCTATTACACTAAAAAAAAATGTGATTATGACAAGATGAATCCCTTTACTTGCCAATTATTGCATGAATATATACTTTAATACTCCACATCAGGCTGCATTTTTGCATTCCAGTCGCTCCCTACATCCAGGCAACAACCAGAATCTGACGTGCATAACTCTCACTCTGATGACACTGATGATGACAAAGTTATTTTCATTTTTTATCTTTCTCTTTTGCTCAAATGCCAAGGCAATGCATGAATGAGGTTATAGAAACTTTGTTCACTAGTCCAGGCCAAAAATACCAGTCACATTACAAAGTACTAAGTACACTTTTAATTGGTAATCTATGTGCATAACACGATGATGACAAATTTGGGATTCGTTAATGGACGTAAAGTATGTTTCCCGTTATGACCCCATACTTCTTTTGTCTTCAAAAGGAAACCCCTTTGCGATTTCAGCTGGAGTAATCAAGTTTTATTGCTCAAAGCTTGTCTAGATGTTGTCAAAATATACAATGCTGTATGGTGACAGCAGTATGCACGTCAAGCACTTTTATAGATTACAAATGAAAACTGTGAAGCCTGATGAAGTATTTACATGCAATGTATGCCTGACGTACAATGGCTTTAGACTTACCCTCAGTACCAGTAAAGTTTTGAAGACTCCATACAAAAATGTTTCTTTGGAAGTAATTGCAATGCTGTTTTCAAGTGACATTGAAATGGGAAAAAATAGCAGCAAAATCGCTTTATTTTATCATTTCTAAGATATAAATCACACATAAAATAAAAATGTTTTGCTTGTGCTGCTACTGCAGCATATCAACAACACATGTATGCCACAATCAGATATTAATGTTTTCTGTAAAGAGTACAAAACAATATTGCATCACAATGTAAAATGTTGTGGTTCTGGCACAGGCTCAGAAAATGGACAACTGGTAGCTAAGTGTGAGACGGGAGGGGGAGTAAAAGAATACCCATATTTCTAGTATTTATGAAATTTAAAAAAATTATAATGATAACAATCGAGACGTGAGCTTTAATATCCAGTTACTAGATCTATCTTAACTGGCCCTCCTTGCATCATTAGTATTACAGAACCACCAAGTTGAGTTGACCTTGCCAGGGGCAAAGTTAATTATGTCGACCAATGAGACTGCGTGTAGCAATCACATACGCTCGGCTTGCTGTGGGAAGAGGTGTTGGAAACAGGCCACGGCTGTCAGTTTTGTGCTATGTGATTTTTAAAAATAATTAATTACAGAAAAACTATAACACAACAATTTTTAATGAAATTAACACATGTGGAAAGACGAATGGTGGTGGAAGTAATGATGATGCTGTAGTGGTGGTGGAAAGACGCTGAGTTGTCAGTTACTTTGTACTTACACACTGCTATTGGGCAATGAGAGTGCAGTCTTTTGACTTTTGACACAATTACACTGTCCTAGTAGGTACTTCTAGTTCTAATTTTGGTTTTACATAAAATCCCCCAACGACAGTTATATTATGTAACCTCCTTACACCTCACATAATTCACTTAGAAGCTGAGTCCGAATAAATAAAGCATTTTTTCGGAACCGAGTCCAAATAGATAAAACCCATATTCGGACTCGAGTCCAAATAAATAAAAAAATCTAATTGGACTCGAGTCTGAATAGAGCTTGCCAATCTAGAAATCAGTAAAAATTTAGGTAAACGTTTTACGTTCACTCCCGCACAGTCACAGAAGGCTAATGCAGTGGATGTCGCATTCAACAAGGTCACATTCAACGAGAAGTCGCCTCCAACGAGGCAGTCCTTAATCCCCGATTTTTTTTCCTCTATATATCTTTGTAAATGTACGTCAGCTCCAACGAGGTTGCAAACAGACCGAAGTCGCTTTCAACGAGGTCGCGACAACCAAGTAAAAGCAATTAGGGGCCCCAAAAGCTAAGAATTTTTATCCTTTCTCTCCATCTCACGCTAAGCCCAAGGCCCATCCTCGATTCCTAATGCATTGTATTGCTAGTTCTAGTGTGCCTCCTAATACTATGGGCCCCAAAGCCAAGAGGATGGGCAAGGTTTAGCGTACGTTAGGGATGGGAGGGGGTTGGTGGGAAAGCGATGCGAGCTGTGTGAAACTGGATGAACTCTGGATGGAGGTCTAGATCGAGACGTTCATTTTTTTCAATTTTCTTTCTTCCCCTAATCAGAAAATCCAAGCTCCCGCCTTTACTTAATGTAGATCTAGGCCCAGATGTAAGAGGGTATGTTTCCACACGAGAAGTGTTCCAGGAAAAAATGTTTTTAAACATTCAGAAATAATGGTCAGAACACAGCTCAATCACGCCCACACTGATGCTGTTCGAGATTTTCGTCATCAGAGGGAACAACTGAACATTCACTGATATTGGTACATCGTGTAATATAATAACTTGTCTCCATTCTTTTTCTTTAGCCTTAGTCACGTTCAACGAGAGGTCGGATCCAGCGAGGACAACAAGCCGGTCCTGGCAACCTCGTTGTTGAATGCGACACCTACTGTACTACATGCGGCTAAACGTAGAACGATGCACCTTCCTGATTGGCAGTTAACTTTAGTAATGTGATGTCATCACATCCGGGATACCCACAGACTATTTTTAGAAGGCTGTGGAAATACCAAAGATCGTGTAGTAGAGAATCTTTGGAGATACCACAGGGAACGACATGTTGGGTCAGTGGCTTGACGTATTATCTGTATCGATGTATTTTGCATGGTAAATTAATTTCACACTTGCGGCTGACCGCAGCCCGTCAGCCATGCTGTACTAATTGGTTACAAGGTTTGCGGCATGTTAATAACATTTCGATTTCCAGTAGTGATGCTAGAAATTGGAACTCGGTAAAGACGGTAAAGCGTGCGAAAATTGCAGTGAAGACACTACTGCAAGATTACCCCCCTCCCCCCATCCCCCCGGGCGCGATAAACAATGCCCACAGGCAGGGGCGAAGGCTGACTTGTTTGACAGGGTAATCAAAGTGAAACGGGACTTATAGATATGGCCTGTAAATATCACACAAGAATCTTACTCGAGGCGGCGACTCTGAGTTGTGAATGAAAACAAATCCGGAATTCATATTGTATGTTCAACCGCCAAAATAATCGGGAAAGTATCTTATTAAATATCAGTTCCAACTAAAATTAAATTTAACTTTAGATGTGAATACATAAACACAAAGCAAAGAAGCAGAGATGTCAGTACTAGATCTATATGTTATAGATCTACCAGTAAGTCTAACTCTTTGGTAGAACATGACAATTATCATTTTTTAAATTTCACATTTGGCAGTTTTTGTTAGCCTTTCGCGGCCAGGAGCTGGTGTCATAATCGAGGTCACGATCTGATTATAGGACGGTAAAAAGTCGAGGGAAAAAAACAAGCACACGCAGCAGTCAAGAGATTATTAGGAGTTAGTTCCCCTCACATTTGTGAGATAGACTCGACCAGCGTTAGTTAGCATAAATAATCAGGGCTTGAGATTGATTATAACTGTGGCCCCAAAGGGGTGAACAGGGTATATGTGGCAATGAAACAGCTTGGACTGCTATGTACATGTTCCCTTCAACTCAATTGATAGACTCTTCCAGACTCACTTTAAACTTACTTAATCAAAGCATGCGACTGCTTATGGAGTGGCCCGAGAGGGGTGAGGAGGCTATTTCCGTGGCCGTGAAACCGTTTTGAATGTTAGGCATACTGTTCATTGTTGATTACGAACGTCTTTTTACATTTAATTTAAGAGGTTTACGTTTAAGGATGAATTTGACAGCGACAATGTTTCAAAATTAGGAAGGGAAGCAGTGATTATTTGATTATATAGACGCTTCGCCCCTGCCCACAGGAGATAAGCAGCAGCATCATCAGAGCACCGCATCATATCTCATTACCGGTATTCCTGGAAAAACATCGCACCAAAGCGTTGTGCCGTCAAAGATTCTCTACACGGTCTTAAGTGCCATACAGTTGGCTATATTTAGATGTAGTCACATGGTCGGAGCGGTATCCCGGTCTGACGTCATACAAGATGGCCGCCTTAGCTAAAAATAGTTTGCGTTGTTTTACGTTTAGTCGCATATATGCTACTACTACATGGCGCTCATATGACCTTATGCAGTTGCAAGCGCCATAAAACCTCTACTAAAACAAAGACACACTGCTTTGTTTGAGGGTCAAACTGCAGCATTACATTTGAAGATCACACATAGCTACTAAAACTGTCGCAAATCAATTATTTTCCAAAAAATTCCAAACCGAACTGCAGAATATAAAATTATAAGTGCCCTTATAAGCGCCCTGTTTACCCCTCAGATTTTTTTCTTACTTAGGGGGGCCAGCCCCCGATTGGTCCAAAGCGCCGAAATTACGACACAAGTTCCATTATAAACCATCAAATATTTAACTGGAGGGCTTTCGAAACGAGCGACCACTATGAGACAGAGTAGAATATTTAGGGGTAGGGTTACTGCAAGGTTTGGGTTAGGATAAGGTCTCTTCTTTATTGTGTTTGTTGGGGTGGTCGCTCGTTACGGAAGTCCTTCCTTTTAAATTGTTTAATTAGCGGCTGAAATGAAGTCAATATTCGTTTTCAGCACATCAATATGTAGTAGAAAATGGACACATGATTTAAATGTGGAACGGGAGGGACTGTAAAAGAATTTTAAAAATTTATTTTCACACCTGCATGCAGATGCACTGGCACTGCTTTTAGGGGCTAAACCGCAGTAATATCTATGTGTGCTCCTTTTCCAGAGCGTGGTAACTTTGCAAAGTACACAGAGAATGAGAGCATGTGTAGATATAATCATAAGTTAAATGCAAGTGTGTTATATAATATATTATATAGTGACGTCCAAAAGAAATTTGAAAATGTAATAATGATAATCCAATCATCAAGTTATAGCCTTACACTACCCGCTCATGCAACATATCAATTTAAAGCTGAAATAAATTCTGCATCATCTGACACATTGATATTTCATCTATAGGTTAATAGATGCCCAAGATATGGCCACTCAAAATTGACCTTAAAAAATCAGGATTGGCAAAATTGTGCGAAATCAGAGAAACACAATTTAAGTGTGTTCGCATGTATTTGAAGTGCATCAACATTGAATGATTGATGGAATGAACATGCATTGAATATCAAATGAAAAGAGAATATTACTATACTTATTACTTAATACTAGAGTAACATTATTAATAATAAACCATAAAGGTAACGTTAACTCAGTAAGGCCTGAAATCAAAAGTAAAGGTGGTACATAGTTTCTCCTGTGCTGAAATTAATCACATTCATGTCGCTCCTTATCTGTCATATCTGTAGGGTCAAGGAAAGAAGTCTCTGAAGAACATTGCAATCATGGATTTTGTTTTTGGAGGATGACTTTATGTCTTACTCCCTTTCTTTTTCTACACTTGGAATACAGAACTGTTGAAAAAAAATTATGTTTAATCTTATTGTCCTGCGGCATCCTGTCTTTTGCAATAAAAAATGTTTTTCCATGGATTTAGGGTAGGGCATATTGTACGAATTTGGCTACTGTATTCACCTTTGTGTTTTCCTTTTCTTTCAGAGCCAACGATGGCTGCAAAATCAGGAAAGAAAAAAAAGGGATACACCACAAATGATGCTATGGAACTCATCAAGACTAATCGTCAAGGAGTATGGAAAGAGCTTAGAAAGTTACAGAAAACCCACAAGAAAGATGTGATGGAAAAGAGAAAGAAGAAAAAGTTCAAATCTGCTATTGGTGAGAGTTGTTTTTATTGCAACATAGTTTTAATTAATATTTCTTCATTGACATCCTTCCTGTCAAGGTCGGTCTTGCCCTCTTGGCATAAGGTGTTACAGTTGTCTTCGCCTAAGAACGAGGTTATTTGGCGACAAAAAAAACAGGACCTTAGGCAGATTTCAAAGGGCAAAAAGAAAACAAAAAAACTTAGCTCGTATAATGGCTTCTCTTTTCTTGATGCGATCGAGAAGAAGCTTCCCTTTTCATTCTATGATGAAGTAATTGAGAGGTCAGCTTTTAAAAAGATAATTTAATAATTGAGCATTAAAAATGTGTATGTGTGTGTGTGTGTATTATGAGTGTTCATGTTTAGGTGGTGTGCATAGTTTTGGGTTCGAGTTCAAGTGAGAACCAGAAGCTTCAGCGTGACTTTGTACAAGATATTTATCACTATGACTTACAGAGTATTGAAACTATGAAACAGCACTTGTCCCCAGCACTGCACAAGTGAAGGGAAAGATTATATGGGAAAAGGCTAGCTTTTGGAAGACAGTCATAAATTTTAACCATTGTCAAAGGAGCAAGTGGTCACTGAGCTAGCAAAATGACTTATCTCGTTTTCGCTACCGGATAAAATTTAAAAAACTGTTTAACTTGACTATTTATAATCTAATAGTGGTATAACTTGCCGTGTATTTTTCTTTTGTGGCTGCCGCTGCGTTTCTGTTTTCTTTTACCTGAAGATCTGTTGTGATTTGCTTCTTCTTTCCCATCAAACATCTATCGTCCATATATCTCTCCTCCTTTTTTTTGGTGTTTTATTACTCTCTTGTAACAGTAACACCTCTAATCTTCGGCACTTATATAACCATATTGTGTTGCAGGTGCCATAAAACACTTACTAAAACTAAAATGAGTTAAACCATTTTGCTAGTGCAGTATGGCACAAAGTGGTCGTACTGATTGAAAATCACTTAACTACTGACCTGCTCGGCAAAGTTCTCATGAAATCCTAACATAATGTTCTGTGTTAGTGTGTCTGTATTGTATAGATTGTGTTGTTTACTAGTCTTTTCCATTCACCCCAACCCTTGCAAAATATTGTAAATGTGGGTGGTTAGCAGGTGCTCTGGTGCGGTTTGCTTCTTTTTTCCTATCAAACATCTATCAGTGGGTGGTTGGCGGGTGCTCTGATGTGGTTTGCTTCTTCTTTCCTATCAAACATCTATCGTCTTTATCTTCCCTCCTTTTTTGTGTTTGTTACTCTCTTGTAACTCCTCTAATCTTCGGCACTTATATGACCTTATTGTGTTGCGAGTGCCATAAAACACTTACTAGAACAAACATCTATTATCTTTATCTCCCCTCCTTCTTTTTTGTTTGTTACACTTTTTTTATACCTCTAATCTTCAGCACTTATATGACCTTATTGTGTTGCAAGTGCCGTAAAACACTTACTAAGACTTTTAAAAAAACATTGTGGGCTTAGTCTTGTATTGGCTCCAGTTTTCCTAGATTTGTTCATAATCACTGTGAAAGCACTGAATTCCAGTCACACAAAAAATGGGAGTTTGTACAAAATGAAACTGGTCTTTTCATGTTTGCTCTTTCCAGCTCTTTTTTTATTTGTCTTCTTTTCTAAAGTGCAACATTATTCTCCTACATTATTATAACAAAAGACTGTTAGCCTTTTGCCCTTCATCCATTCGGACCCTTCTTTTGCTAATATGCCTTTTTTCCCCCTAAATTTGATACTTTTTGTAAGAGTAAGAGTCACAAAATTGACAAAGTTTGAAGAAGATGTGTTTTCTTTGCATACTTATGATGTGGATGAATCTTTGAAGTATGGAATCATAAAAACCAAAATGGATTTTTTAAAATACCCTCAAAGGAGGGGATCTTTGGGGTAGTAGTGAAAACCTGATTGTCATTGGGTTGACAATGGTAAGAAAGTAAAAGTAAGTGTGTGGGTTTGACGCCCCTGTCAACATCATGCTACATGTATTAGGTCATTTAAGAGGTGGACCTCTGAATTAATGTTTATCTCCGATAGGACCGTACCAAGTGGGTTGAGAGCCTTGAAAACTTCACAAAATGACCCGCGTTCGAGAGTGCCCAATCTGGAATTTGAATCAGGGCCATCTGCTCCATAGTCCCACATGATACCAACTGAGCTAATGGAGGGTCCTAGTAAACAGAATTGCCCTCCTTTATTTTATTATTTTAAAAGCACAAGTGGTTCACAGTATGGGGAAAGGACTTGCATCGTTGAAATGATGTGAATATGAAATGAAAACAAGAACAGGTAATGTAAAGTACACAATGATACATTTTGATCTCATATTGATTTGGTGTTTTGCTTTCAGAGTTGTACAAAGAACAAAATGATGTTGACTATACAGAAGCAAATGTAGAAGCTTTGCAAAAGATCACAGAACTCGGAAAAGTTCGGGATGAAGTAGCAGAGAAGGTCAGTTTGAGTTTTGTAACTTTATTGTATAGGTAGGCCTTCAAACTGCTATTGATACGTGTATGTGTTAAAACTAAGTAGTGTTTGGTCGAGTGATACTGGGTTGAGTGGAGTTATGATTTTAAGAGTAGTTTTGAGGATACAAGTCAGCATGGTATGAGACACATTCCTTTTTTTCAGATTAGTGATGGACCAATCTATGCTATCAAATGGTGGTTGATAAATATTTTAGCCTGTAAGTCTAACAGCTCTCATGCTTTTACTTTCGAAAGTCAGCTATCTTGCCAAAGTGTTGGACATTGTACAAGTGATCTGGCACATTGGTTTGGTGTTTCACCAGAAGCATGTACAAAAAAAGTGAGCTGGTAATTGTTCACTTCGAAGATGAGAATAGGTGCATATGTAATAATATAATATGTGTTCGAAGTTGTCAGCACCTGAAGCTTGTTTTTGAATCCTTTGAGCTCGTAGGGCATGTACACCTGATGATAACCATATTCAAGTAATTCAAGGATGTGATTTGTGGAAATGTCAGACTGCCATTTAGTAAGTTAAAAATTGTATCTCGCCTAGAAAGGAAAAAAAAAATATTTGTTGCATGCTTCTCTGTGAGAGCATTATTTTCAGTTTTTGGTATTTGGAGGAACTCTTCTGTTTCTTCATAACATTTATCCAGATTTTAAAAACATTCATTTAAAAAAAACATCCAAACAATCCTCTTTCATTGTTTAAATATTCTTTCGACTTCCACTGAGATGGAAACACAGAGGATTCTTACTTACTTGCTTCCACATTTTTTGCTGAGGGAGTCTCATAAACTTTCTTGTGTTTACATGATAGAGGTTCTTTTGTCCTACCCTACAACTTGGTTGTTTGGCTCACAGAATGTGCATCCCTTCCTTTAACGTCTGTTTCCAAAGTGTTCTAATGTGTCATGTTCTTTACAAAATCTTATAATACGTATCCGGTCATATTTCTTTTAAATTGCTCTTATTATAAATTATTTTATGATACAATTTTTTTTTTTCTTCAGATTTTATACAAGCAGCCTAACAGGTTATCCCGGGACATCAAAGAGAAGGAGGTTGAGGAGGAGGAGAGCACAGTGTTCACAGAGGAAGATTTCCAGAAGTTTGCACGAGAGTACAGGCCGAAATAATGTACAAATTGCTCAGACAGACTGCGTGGGGATTAGGAGCACCAGTTTGCCAGGGCTGTTCACTTATTGTCTGGACTGTCAGAAATGCAGGCTCGTGCATTGTTGGATTTGAAGTGTTTGACATGATACATGATGTACTTATTCAGGATGAAGGAACAACGGCAAAATTTTTTTGTTTTAAATCTTGGAACCAAATTTTAGATTTGATTGAAGCTGAGATCTGTACGGGGTGTCGTGATTTGGGGGGGGGGTGCCTTGTGTGTATACGTAATCGAAGTCATGCCTTGTTATTGTATGAAATCGTGTGCTTATTGCACGGGTAATTACAACTGTGAAAGCCATCTTCAAGAAAACGAGAACTTCAGCATCACTGCAGCCTGCGCTCCCCCAGTCTGTCCAACTCTGACTCTATGCCTGGCCCTCCAGGAAATCGCGGTCTTGAGACCGCACTTGCGGCCGCGTTTTTCGTTGAGTTCCGCAATAATGGGCCCAGCTCAAGCCTACTGAGTGTACTCTAAAAGCTATAGCTCTAAGTCTAACCGGAAATTCAGGCCGGAATACATCATGTACAACACGAACTGAGACATAGGCTAGGCCGAGAATGTGGTCTTCTTTGGGCTAGGCTTTTATCTAATGTGTGTTAGCATGCGCGTGTGATAAGAAAGTAGCTGTGTGCGTGTGTTAGGTGTACGTGAGTGTGTGTGCGTGTGAGTGCGCGCTCGTGAATATTGTTCGTACATGATGCATGTGTCTACATACACGGTAACCGGGCACCTAGTCTCAGTATCTACGTACACGGTAACCCACCGGAATGAAGATTAACCGATATTTGTCCTGTGCTGTCACTTGTTGAAATAAAAAAAAAAGAAAGTTATACACGCGTCTTGTCGGGCTCGCCATCGTTACCGGTCAGTGAACCTGTGCTCTCGCATCACATTGTGAGTACCGGTTGGGGTCACCAAAGTTCATTCAAAGTCTGTGCGCTATGAAGTATACAGTAAAGGGCTCTAGAATGGGAGAATAATTGATTTTTTTTTTTTATGTACAGTCAGGGGAGGGCTGGTGTTGAAGGCAACACCGGATGACAAAAACTGAACTTGGAGTTCTTAACTGCCCGGTTACCGTGTACGTAGACACAGAGGCTAGGTGTCCGCGTACCTTGTGCGTAAACACCCCGTTATGTAAAACGCCTTAAGCTGCGTTCACACGGGAGTGGTTGCTGTAGAAATGATCTAGATCTACATTAGTACATGTATTACTATTGTTTATAAATATGGAAAAAAAAATTGCTGTATTTTACGATTTGACTTAGTGTTAAAACAATACCATGCCCGTTTTAAAATAGAAAATATCAGAAATAAATCTAAATACAGATTACAGGTGTATCGAAGGTTTCAAGAGAAAAATAGAACATGATCTGATTTGATTGGAGCATAAGCTTATTTTGTATTTAGAGGTTGTTTCAAAAATCTCTCGTCAATTTTTTTGTTTTTTATAGACTAAACTTCATACACTTCTAGATTTTTGCATGAACCAAGTACCTGGTATGTACTAAATTTGGTCAAATTTTATGCTTTCATTTAAAAGTTATTACGAAAACCGAAGGTTCCGTTATTTTGTGTCACGCATTATCATATTATATTTGGTCGATAACTTTATTGTTAACGTACTCGTGTGTTGTTACTAGTAAATGTGTTGTTAATAACATTTGATGAATTTGTATTGTTTGTCATGATTTTTTAAAAGGCTGAGCTGCTTTTCTGCTACCGGTACTCAAAATTGTCATGTTTTTTTAAACTAAAAATGTTAAGCCCGTATTAATGCGCCTGGGATGGGAAGGTTGCAATTTTTAGGCGGTTTACCTTGCAATTTTTCTATTTCAAAAATGCAATTTTCTGCGGGGCCAGTCATTTTTTCGTGTGTGTGTGAGAAAGGGAGATTAGCAGCTGTCAAGTGGGTACTGTGAATGGTGTGGATCTCTGGCGGCCAGTTCACTGGCGTTGTTGCTGGGCAAATTTACAAAGCTTTTGTTTGGGCCGTACAACTCAGTCTGTTGGCATGGTTGTTTAAGGAGACAAATAGTCTGTTTATATATATTGAATAAGAGCTCCTTTTCGTGCACTTTCCAAACCTGGCAGTACAATGGGGTTTGACTGAATAATTTCAAGACTTTTAAAAAGTTCAGTTGTGTTGAATTAAGAGGGGACATTATTTTTGGGAAACTATCAGTAATGGGGAGAAAAACTGGAAATTGTGTATTGCTTCTAAAAAAAATCTCTCTAAAACCAAAATATTCCAAATATTGTTCCTGCTCTTCCAACACTATGGTGTTTTACCCAACCAAATATTGACTGGTAGAGATGGAGTCGGGCAACACTAATGTCAATGTGGGACATTAACAATGTATGTGTGTTGAGAAAATAATGTCCATGTATGTATGTGTGTCGAGAAAATAATGTCCATGTATGTGTGTCGAGAGAACATAATGTGTGTCAAGAAAACTGTGTCCATCATTATGGCTTTTGAGAAAACAGTGTCCCATGTGTATGTGTCAAGGAGATAGTGATTGTAAATTGTGTTGAAGAGCAGTGTCTCTATATTATTATGTGTCAAGGGTACAATGTCCGTGTGTGCACGTCAAGGAGATAGTGTCTGTGTATGTGTGTCAAAGCAAAAATGTCCATGTATGTACAGTGTGTCAAGGAACAGTGGACACATGTATGTGCTCTGGGGGTGGTTACAAGGTCTGCGTTCTGGGTGCGGGAGAAACATGGTAAAAACTAGCACTGTTGCTAGCTTTGAGCGAAGTCTGTGCGACGGTGTATGAAGAGTGGGAAGACGAGAGGTCTCTTGTGTAAGGACTTCTCTGTAATTCCCTTCTGCAAGCCCGTCAGAGATGTTCTATTGATTGTGCACACACTCAAACTGTGGTCACATGCATCTAAAACTTTCTACTTGAGTTATTTATATTTGTGTTCTAAACATTTTCTTTCATAGTTGGCAGAACCAGACAAGGTGTATTTTCACAATCATTTTGATGAGGATTTTGAACATGGAACAACGATGCGGCCACCTTTGGTTGGGACCTCAGAAAAAAAATAGTTTATTTTCTTCATCTTGATCAGTCCTGCCTAAGACGGCCACCTGTCTTATACGGCCACTTTTCTCCTTGACAATGGGTGGCCGTCTTACACAGGTTCGACTGTATATAAATATCCCTAAACTGGTTGATTGTGAGGCAAATTACACTAGTCAAATAAGGACCGTACAACTTTATGCAGTTAGCGGATGGCTGTGTAAAGGGGCAAATGCTGTGTTTTTATATATATATATAGGTGTTCCTCAAGTCAAGCGGGGATGACAGTAGAACTTGGGGCAGTAGGCCTATAATGAGGTTTGACTTCATTTTTTTTTTCCTGGTCTTCTTCATGTGAGGTGACTGCTCTTTCATTCTAATCCCCCAATCTGTACAAAAATGAATAAATTTATGCTCATTATCTTGAATTTCACCAGTTTTGTTTGTCCATGATGTTAGAAAAACTTACTGCTACTGCAGTGAAGGGGGTCAGTTTTTGCAAAGTGAAAAGATGATTTTATTGAATACATGTGTCTTCATTTTCTGCTGGGATACTTGTCCCACTGGGCCCTGACAGGTAGGGTTCAAGCAGCTCGCTCCTTAACGTAATGATCTGAATTGTGTCAAAAAATTATTGAATGATTAATATCAATAAATGACATTTTGTAAATCATTTTCAATCAATATTTCCTATCTTCTTGACTTGCAAAATAGAAATAAATTATTGTCAAGTACATGTACTGTGAAGTGCTATCATCATTATTATCATCATTCTTTCTCACCCTGTATCAGAGTAGGCTACAGACCGGGGGCTCTCGTGGCCACTCGGGAATCAAACTTTGGTCTCCTGTGTGCAATAGCAAAGCATTTAATTGCTACCTCCCAGATGCTAGTTCTCCTTGTGTGACAATCACTTACTTCCACTGGGATACATGCAAGTGTATTATCAGGCCCTGTAGCTTCTCCTTGCTTCATTTTCTTAACAGCAGCCTGTACTTCCTCTTTCAGAATTGGTGGTCTTATATTTCATTCGTAAGTACATTGTACTGATTTTCGTCGTCTATTGTCTTTGAAAGGTTCTTTTGTGTATTCTGAACACCTATTTAAAACATCCTTAGTAATCAGAGTCAGAAATTAGAGAAAATGGAAGTGGATTGGAGACACCTTTAGAAAATCGAAAACAAACAGTGCCCACCAAGTCTTGAGATCGAATCCAAGAGAAAAGAAGAGACAGAGTGGCAAGCTTAAATTAAAAGTACTAGGAGGAGAGACAGATTCTGGCCTAAAGGAGGTTGGATACAGCTGGTGGAGCTATAGCCCAGGACAGAAGTTGATAGAGAGAGGCTCTTGTATACTTTTTTGGGAGTGTTTTACGGTGCTCGCTACTGCATACATTTTATTAGGTCATTTGAGCGTGCGGAATACATTAAACATTATCAGTAGGTAGGAAATTTTGAATTTTGCCCCGCAGCGGCTAGAGCTTATTACAACAACCGAGAATCCGGCTTCAAATCTGGAGAAGACCAAGAAAGACCTGGCTGGGTGGAGTTAAAAAGGTCCTGGAACAACATAACATATATATAGGCCTATATATATATTATATATATAGTCGAACCTGTGTAAGACGGAATCGCAAGGGAGCCAGAAAAAAATTCCGTCTTAGACAGGGGAATTTAGGGGGAGATGGAGGTTGGGGGGGGGGGGGTCAAAGTCAAAGGCCCAGCTGGTGGGATCAAGGATCGGTTGTCCGATCGGCAAGCAGTGGTCAAAACTTCACACCTCTCAATTGCTATCCTGTCTGATAATGACATGCGTCAGTCTTACTTATACTTATATTATTTACCACCATTGCTTGCCTTTCATAGGACCGTTTTACTTCTCCTTTGATTCCACCCTTAGCCCCACCCACCAATGCCACCCCTCATAAACATCATGTAACAATGATTCAAGGAACTCTTTTCTCGGTTGGTCGTACGATCAGGGTGGCAGGCATTGGTCAATCTAATTTCACACCTCTGGCTTCTGGCTACCCAGGAAAGTTTTCGTAGTGGCCCGCTACTCGAACACTCACATGATGGGGTAACATCTAGCATATCCCCAAATTGCACCCCTACCCCCCTTCCTCGCCCAGCGGCATGGCCATAGCGTGAAGGTTAGAGCCGTCGAAACCAAACTTGCGAATTTTGTTTCAAAACAGGACTGAGCGGACAAAGCATTTTGCGTCTTAGTCTTAGACAGGTGAAGCCCTCGGAAGGGAGCGGATTTTTCTTTCCGTTTCCGCGTTGGACAGGTTTCCGTTTTATACAGGTAAATAAAGAGGAATATATATCAAGGGGGGAGCGGGGAGATTCCGTTAAGACAGGTTTCCGTTAAGGCAGGTTCGACTGTATCTATCACAGACGCTATACACCTAGCACAGGACCGAAACCTAACGACACCAGAGGAAGTAAAAGTACGAAATTTTGAATGTTGCCCGGGTGGCGGCCGAAGCCTACTCTTATCAATTTTAGACCACCAAGGAATCTTTAATGTGCTCAACTTGCACTCGGGACCTCTTACTCTTAGATTTTTCGCCCTTGTCCGACCGAGAAGGCTAGGTGTAGATCTTTCCTACCAGAAGATCAGGGGATGGGGCTGAAAGACAGGAGTAAGAAGGAGCCCGGGAGTAGCTGCAGAAAGAGTCAGGAGCCCAGAAGAGGGGGCAAAGGAGATGAGGGTGAGGGGGCAGAAAGTGGAGACGAAAGCAGACAACAGAACATTGCTAGAGAGCAGGAAAAGAGGTGAAAGGAGACAATTTTAGAGAAGAAAAATGTTTCCGTCACTACCCGGGACCTTTGATTTATTTGAATGAGAGGCGAACTCCTTAACCTCTTACTATGTGCACAGAATAATAAACCCACTTGAAAATGAGCCATTTTACAAAAAATTGCTCTGCTGAATACGAAGTACAATGTGGACCAACTTGTAGGCTACTTTGAATGACTGAACTAATTTATAATTTTAATGGAAAGAATACATTTTTTAAAGGACCGTATTGGACCAGAGATAAAACACTCGTTAAATAAATAATAATTGGGCCTAATGAACACACCTTAGTAAACAAATTCAATTATTTTGATTTATATTGACTTGAAGTTTAATTGAAAGTCAAAATGTAGGCCTATTTACATACTATAGTCCACTTATAACGAGAAAAAAC